ACCCTGTGATTTTACTAAAGCAAATTAAGAAAGCAAAGGGCACTTACCTTAGAAGAAAATCAAAGGGGATTTTGTTCACAAGGTTACGGTAGATCATAACATGACAAAGAGCATTTTACCTTGATTTTCTCTTTCATAGCTTGCTGTTCATGATTAATCCTCATGATTTCACTTTTCATTATCTGTGATCGAAAAGCACTTTTCATTATCACTGTTCATTAAATTTCACTTTCATTATCTGTGAAAAGTCCGTTTGGGACGAATAAAGTATATATGTATGTACACGAGTAAAAGTGAAAGCACAGATAAGTCGACACGTTCTGAGGCATCCCAAAGAATTAACCAACAAGTATGCACCATCTCAAAACCTAGAGGCCGACCTTCGTCATGAATTTAACTGAACTGTATAAATCATTAAGACAACTTATTATATATAGCTGTAGCCCCCAACAGTATATGTAACTTAAGAAATGCGACGGCCTCGAATTTCCAGTGATGTCTATAACAGAAAACATGAAGAATCTTACCTTAATTTCATTGTCTAACAGTCGAGCCCGGCTGACAATTTCGTCTGTCTGCATACGAAGAACTTCTTCGTCCATTTCCTGGGAAAAATACAAAATAAACCGAATCAAACAATAGATGAATATCCTAAAAGTAATTCTAACCAGTTTTTAACATCTCAAAAAGGAACGGAAGCAGTTAAATTACCTCGCCATCTTCCCAAATCGCTTTGTCCTCGAGGGCCGCCATGTTGTTTCGCTGAGTAATCGTGCTCGTCCCAGTCTATCGCATGCCTGCGACCAAGAAAAGCCTGAGCGGACAGTCTACTGTCACGCAAATTTTCTTCAACGCAAGCCAGAACTGCGAAATTCACATAGCACAACATAGTCTAAAAAGATCTGATAAAAACGTTGCAGTATCAGCTCGTGCGGTTGGCATTTTCAGGATTTTAATTTCTCAAAAACTATTCAAGAATTGATGAATTCTGGCTGGTCTTTTTCAAAGCCTTACAAACATTTAAACTCTATGACTTACCAAGAGATGATTCTCTTGGCCCAGGAGCATCTGTGATATACTCCTGCTTGGACTTACTTAATGTAACAAAAATAACGGCTCTGCAATATGATAGGTGTACATAATTTTTTTCCGGCATTATCAAAAATCTAGCAAAGAAAGTAACTCAAAGGATGATATTTGTCTTTTTTTTGCGCAAAGCATATTTACACTGTAAAATACCTGAATCTTTTTAAATTTCTTATATTTAGAAGTGTCAATGCTACATCTATCATTTTGGTGTTAGTTGCCATTATGTTATGAGGCGAACCAATTTCTTCCTCGATATAGACATATCCTCATAAATTCTTCCTCGATATTTGGCTAAGCTCATAATTCCCTCAATTTCTCTGAGTTTTTATTCATCTTCGTTTCTGTAAATGCTAAAAGTTTAGCTGATATTCTTATGTAAGTTTCGTGGTGCTCAACTATAACACGGAAGAATTTGAAGTCAGTTGTAGTTAAGTTCAAGGCGTTGAAGTACTGTTACCCCAAAAAAGAATTCTACTAAAAAAAATAGATTATTACCTTCTTCTAAGAGGTTTTAGTCTACTAGTATACTAATGTATGTGCTGCAATCTGATTGGCTGAGCTACTCGTATACTATCAGCCTAGCCGTTATAACATAACTAAAGCAAAGCGCGCGCTCTGATTGGTTAATTTAGCGTCTACTATTTGCCCATGGGTAGTGCGACTCTAGCTTCTTGAGTGCTTAGCAAACCTCCCAAGTGCATCATAACTCAATAGTACACGCTATGGCGTTTACCATTTGTTAATTGGTAGAATTCTACTAGTATACTAATGGTGTAACCTGATTGGCTAAGCCATTGAACACTATCAGCCATTAGTGTGCAGTGGCTGGAGGTCGTCTAGGCAATGGCGACGTTTTTTTCGTTTTTCCAAAGTTTTGGAGGTAAATTTTGATGCAAAAGGATAATTAATTTCCTGAGAAGTCTAAACGAAGGACATTTACGGTTTCTTGACTTTTAAAAAAGTTGAAATAATTGAAAAAACTGATGCGCGCGCACAACTTCAATTTTAAATGACAATTCAATCCGAGCGATCTTTTTCAGGTGCGAAGTTTAATAATACGTCAAGAAATAATTGGAAGCCATTATTTGAAGTGAATTTTAGTAAAAATTCTACTAAAACAAATAGATTATTCGCTCTAGATTTCTATGAGTTGATACTGAGTTGATTCGGCCTTCGGCCTCATCAACTATCACCTCATGGAAATCTCGAGCTCATAAGCTAATTGTTAATTAGAGTGCAGCAGTGGCCGGAGGTCATCTACGAAATGGCGACGTTTTTTTTCGTTTTAACAAAGTTTTGAAGGAACATTTTGATGAAAATGGATAAATTAATTCCTGATAAGACTAAAAGAAAAACATTAAGGGTTTCTTGAGTTTAAAAATCTTGAAATTATTGGGAAAAAATGGTGCACGCGCACACGCCTTCAATTTCAAACGACAATTCAATACGAGCCATCTTTCTAAGGCGCAAAGTTTAATAATACGTCTAGAAGTAATTGGAAACCGTTACTTGAAGTAAATTTCAGTTAGAATTCTACTAAAACAATTAGATTATTCGCTTTCGATTTCTATGCGGTGATAGTTGATTTGGCCTTCGGCCTCATTAAGTATTATCACCTCATAGAAATCTTATCAACTATCACCCCATAGAAATCTCGAGCTCATAATGAAATTGATAAATATTACTTTCCTGTAGTTTGGAAGCCGAAAATTTTACAATGCACTGAACAGTTGTATCAAAAGAGGATCATCGTCTTTTGACTGTAAATAGTTACTGTATTTAGTCAAAATTTTTTTATTCTGAGTTTTTAAATAAGTTGAAGGCTAACCCTCTGAAAAACTTCTAAATCAACTTGAAAGATAACGAAAGAATTCTGCTCGGTATATAATATAGTTGCCCTAGCTATCATCTTGTTGTTTTCATCACCTGACTGGCCAGAAAAGAGGAAAAGAGGAAAAGAGGCCGCGAAGGTGTACATTAGTATCAAAAGATTTATTCTGAATGTCTATGCTTACATATTGGTGCTTGTCACTCAGATTTAGAGCAAGTTCTATCGTAGTGCTGGGGCCCGTTTCTCGAAGGTCCCGAAAAGTTTTCGCACCCCAAAAGCCGCAGCAAAATCTCCAAACTTATGACTTCAGGGCTGTTTTATGCACATATTCTTAATATGAACAGAGACTCCCTTCATACAAGAAGTTTCAGGCGTATACAACTAAAAATGGCTTTGTGGGTTTCTGGGGCTTTCGAGAAACGGGCCCCTGGGTTCTTCTTGTTGTAACTGAACGACTTCAATTTCAGAAAGCCAACCGAAGCGTAATTTGCGATTTTTATGACCTGTAACTGATTTGAAATTTTTATAAACTGTTTTCTTTACAATGTTGCCTATCAGATCTTCAATTAACTCTGAAATGATCTCTGGCGGTTTTTTGCCTGTTATTAAACAGGACCGCTAAATAAAAAGCCGGATGCAGAACTGAGAAGGTAACAAACAAATGTTCACTCAAATTATTCTTGTTACAATAAGTGCGGCATAAATTTGTAAGGCAGGTTTCGAACAGACCAGCAAAGATTAAACCTGCTTGAATTGCTTTTGAGAAAAAATTATATTTTCCAAGATGATACGGTAACCTGTGCCTCTGAAACTCCGATGCGATTGCAATTGGCATTTTCCGACCCGATTTAAACGCAAATTATTTGGCGGGTGTTTTCCCGGCCCGCGCTCACTCTGGTTAAGTGTCCTGCTAATTTTGTTCCGAAAAGCGAACGTCTCAGTCAGAATTAAGCCTCTTTCCCAGCAGTCACTTGGTCATTATCAACCTGTCTCTATGGCAACCTCTGTGACTTACAAGGTCAAGCTCATTTTTCACGCGCGAGCAGCAGCGCCTGACGCGTTTCACAAAATGGACGGGAAAATTGTTGTCACGTCTCATCCTCGATACGGATATTTTTATGATATCAAGACCAGTAATAAACTTGTTCCTGTGATTCCGGACCTTGGGGTCTCACGAAGAAGCGTCTTTGATGAAGTGAAAACACCAGCATACAAGTAAGTTAATGATATTGCACGCGACTAATCACCCTTGGCCTTACATTAAATCAGCCTTGCTTAGCTTGAAAACGTTAAATATATCATCGGGCTTTCTTATCTCAGATATAGTGTTAAAGATCTTGGAAGCAATCTGTGAAGCATACGATTCTAAACCCAGTGGAGATCTTTCATGCTCAGATCCTGAGCTTTTTGCAAGATCTATTTCAGAAGCGCCTCGGCTTATGTTTGAAATATTTTGAAATGCTATATAGGATGAAATTCTAAATAAACTTCTTTTGTTTCGGCATTCCTAAAAGTTCACCAGGGTCATGCATTCAACTAATTGTCTATAGATTCAGTAAACATTTTAAAAGTCAAAGCTAAAAAAAATTTGAAATTATGTTTTTAATGTAATCTAGCTTATGTTTGAGTAAACAAATCAAAAACCCTGTATGTCTAGAATTGGAGAAAAGTTTGTCAAAAAAAGTCGCGTAAAAAGTTAATTAGACACCAAAGCTTTGTTGAGATATCACTAAATTTTCGTTGTATAGACGCTGTTTTTCATGACCTGTGGCCCAAATTATTCCTTCACTGTAAGTCTTTTTTAAAATACGTTTAACATGGATATACTCAACTGAAAGACACTGACAAAAAAAATAGTGTGAAAAAGAACCGAACGCATTTCTAACTTTGTTTCAACTAGTATACGCGCTTTCAGATATAGATGAGTTTACTTTACTTCGTGGCAAAGAAAGTGCTCATTTTTCAACATGGAAGATTATCTTGGTGTTGACGTGATTTTACAGCAGCTTTCTTTCGCGTTGCTACGTCAAAATGCAAGTTGTCGCTTTCTGACAACAAAGACTTGTATGCATATTTTGAATTAAAATAGTTTGGAGCGTGACTAAGTTTTCATTTACGGTCCTCTGGGGATTTTATTAACGATTCATCTTCCTTTGTCATTATAAATTAGTTTGTTGTCACCTACAGTAGTTAAGAAATACTGTATTGCCTTTTAAGAGGTCACTTTAGAAACAAACAAAGACAGTTTTTAACATCGGTAAACAATTATCAGAACTAAGTTGAACGCAATTTTTGGCGCTACTACTGACTGCCCCAAATTAATTTTTCCGTCGTAATAATGCGCTGATTTCTTTTTTTTTTTTTAACATAAGTTGAAATGAGATCATTTTATTAAAATTTTGATAAAAACAGTTTAAAATCCTCATGTGAACTAAATGGGTATTTTTAGAAGTTTACAACACTAGAATATTTTGGTATTTTGTGAGTGTGATTTTATTTCGCCTGTTTCGATTAGTTGACAGAATGTCTCCACATTGTCAGATTAGAGATTATAAACGTTTTAATAATCGCTCTGTTTGTTGTGATATTCCCTAAGGCAATTTAATATTGTATCGAGACACCTTAAAAAAAAAAAAGATGCTACCTTGGTCCAAATGCAATTGCTCAGCGGTAAATTACTATTTCAAGTCTTTCCCCAATTCTGATTGTAAACCTCACTGGTACAAAATTGCAAGTAAACTGAACTTACCGTTTCATTTTTCCATAAATTTAAAGGAAACAACACAATGTGTTCCGTGATTATACCATCGGTCGCTCGTCCCCTGTGTGGTACGTGAGCAATGCCGCCATGAGAGCAGCAACAAATGACCGCCTTCTACAGCTCTCTCAGCCCAAGAAGTTTCACTCGGAATATGAGCCTTGTCGGCCAGTTCAGACGTCTGTGTCTCGGGCGGCACAGAAGGCCGTCGCTTCACCTCGAGTTGAGACTCTTTGTACGCCGAAAACGAGGCTAAACATTGAGGGACGTGAGTGGACAATCAAGAAAGGTGCGCTTTCGTCACGGGCCTCACAGAGAGTGCAGGAACTGTCCCACGCGAAGGGTGTTCCTTTAGGGTTCACGCCGGACAAGATCCAAGTATGGGAAGTCTCGAAAGCCGCATTGAAAGCCAAGCCATCTAAGAGAATTGACGATCTGGCTTCACCGATTAAAAGAGAAATAGCCACGAACTTACCGAACCCTGATGCATTTGAGGTCAAGAAAGCCGCTCAAAAGGCGAAGTGTTCAGATCGAGTTGCTGAATTAGCACAGCCGATCATGAGAGGATAGCAAAAATGTCAACTTAAACAACACTTGGAGAAACTTCTTCCTTTTCAGAATGTATTTATTCACTAATTTATTTATTTTATTTTATTTATCTCAGTATTTATTTTTCAACACTCTTCTCGCGTTGTTTTTCTGAACATGACAAGCCTCCCTCTAAATGATTTTATCCCGTTACTTTGAATAAATAATAGTTTTATGATCAATCGTCTACAATGTTTTAATCTTCTCTTTTCAAGGTTGTCCGTCCCTGAAACAATCAGTTCTCCTTTTACAATAGTAATAGTAATAATATTTATTAATGAAAGCTCTCTCACCTACCGGTAATATACAGTGAGGTCCTGTTCTAAATGTATCGTTAGTCACATAAATAAAGGAATAAAATACGATCTAAAACTAAAATAATGCAGGAAGAAAAAGAAGTTACATAACTGAGAATGATTCCAAAAATTTACATTTAAAATCGGATATGGTACACGAGTTTCTTAAATCGCTATCTTAATTATTCCAATCTTTGAAGTCCCTTTGAAGTAAAACAAGCAGAGCTCTTCATTTGACCAACATCAAAAGAAATTAAATTTTCGGTAATTTTTTTTTTACATCCTTTTTTTTACGCAGTCGAACCTCCGCTAACGGACACCCGCAGATTTTTAGTAATGGACCCAGCAAAAAACACACGCTGGATTTTTAACCTCCCTAAAGCAGACACCTCTCTTAAGCGGACACTTCTCTGGTTCCGAGTGTGTCTCTAATTATAGGAGGTTGGACTGTACTCGTTGAGTTGTCCTCTCAGTATTTCGACAACCATAACACCTTTCTGCGCAAGGAATATTCTTCAATCAGGTATTCGTACCAGTCCCTTACTAAGCGAGTATAAGTAAGAAAATAAGAGCTCTGCATATCATTTCA